GGGGGGTTGGGAGGGGTTTGGTGATGGAAACATCTGGGCAGGGAAACAGCTGCGCCGTACACACACAACAATAAATGACACATGCACGCAGGACTCAGTCAAATGGTGTGGGAAAGAACTGTCGAATCGTCAGAAACATCGATACAAAAATAACAGGAGAAACAAAAAATGAAACTGTGATCACTGCACCTGCTGAGCCCGTGTCTGAAGAAATACTCAAAAAAGTGCAATCCTCTACAACATCGATGATAAAATAAAACAAGAAACAAAAACAAACTGCACCCGTGCATGGAAATAGTATACAATAGTCTAACCACCTATACAAATACAAAATACAGTCATGACGACCTGCACAGACCACTCCTACGAACACAAGGCCTCGTCTCAAGCACTACAGACTACTTCTACTAACACAAGGCCTCGTCTCAAGCACTAAATATACTATACACTACTACGAATGAGAGGATGAAAGAAGACTAATAGTGGAACTATGCATCATCGTCGTCCACAATGTCCTTCCTCCTCCTCCGCGGCACCACACCTGTCACATCATCCCCACGACCTGTGCCGCCTGCCGGCGCGTGCGTAGTATCCGGAGCATGAATCTCCCCCTGTGGCGCCACCTCAACCCCTCCCTGTGGTCGAAGAAGATCGTACACGGAAACCCTCCTCCGCCGGCCATAAGGCATCTCCAAATCGTCTGTGCCAGACTCCCAAACGACTGGCGCATGTGACGGTCGCTGCGCTGTCGCCGCCCTCACATCCTCCCGCAATATACGTGCAACCATGCTCCTCCTGGGGGGCGGACTGTGCTCGGCGTGGTCGCCGGTGCCCGCTGTACGCCTTGCAGTATGTGGCAACGTCTCCTCAGCAGGTGCGCTCATGGGCTGATCCGTCGTTCGGTCGGAGACCCTCTCCTGCCATCCTGCTGCGTCTGCGACAACGTCCCCGCTCAAAATCGCCCGTGTCCACGGATGTAAACTGGCCAACCGAGGCTGACTCGCCCGCATCGTCTACGTCACTCTCCTCGAGGTCGATCCTGTCCTGCTCTGACTCTGTCGCCCGCTCCTGCACAGGTCGACACTCCCCATCATCCCCAGCTGCACGCTTGTGTTGCCCCGACCGACCCGGTGCCCCCTCTGCTGCCTCCTGCAACATCGTACTACTGATGTCGCTTGTGCTGCATGAAGGTATGTCACGAAGTATCTGACTGACGGGCGTGGCCGCTGCGTCCACACCGACACCGACACGCTCCCCTGCCGGTGTCGGAGGATGCCCTAACGAAACATCAAAAATGCTGTCGCTGAAACTGACACCCACCTGTGCAGATGGCCTCCCAACCTCTCCAGCATCGCCACTACCACCCGCAAACCCGCCTGGACCCTCCGCAGACGCCGCAGCGAACTCTGCAGGGGAGGGAGCAACCTCCATAGGGGAGGGAGCAACCACAGCTGCCTCAGCGGGCCTCTCCTCATCAACCCAATGCACAGTGCGAGTGGACGATGCAGACTCTCGCCTTACTTTTCCTGTGCCAGCATGCCCTGCACCACCTGTGCGCCCTGCACCCCCAACACCCGGCCCGCTGCCTCCCCTGCCTGCACCACTCCATCGGTCGCCACGCTGTCTCTCGGACTTCCGCAAACCACCCACAACCCGTCCACCGTCGCCGCCCTTGTCGTCGTCGTCGTCACCATGTCCGCGTATCGGGGAATAACAGGGATCATCCTCATCCTCACTGCTGCCCTCATATCCCTCCCTATCGTCGCCATCACCGTCGTCTCCCTCGTCGACACGCTCGCGAGTCCCTCCCTGTCCGCGACGATCGGTCGAAGGGTGTGGCGTACTGCTCTCGACACGGTCCGCCGGGCCTGGCTGTGAGACGTCAGGAGCACTCGAAGGAGGGCGTGCTGCGGGAGACGGTGCAGCGGTCGCCGTGGACGCACGTGTGCGAGGACGCGGAATCTGGTTGAGAGGAGTGTCGTCATTATCGTCATCAGAACCTTCTGGCTCTGACTCCACGGCCAAGTCGTCCGGATCGGACCACGGCTCGGCCTCCATCGCAACCTGAGCCATGGGATCAGGCTCGGGATCGTATACCGACTCCAACTCAGTCGCCATGAGCACCGTGGCGCGACGACCGAAATACGTCGCGACGCTGGGAGGTACCTTTGAAAGGCGATCCTTCCGCCCGCGCTGGACCTACCGGTCGCGCTGTGCCTCGGTGACTCGGTCAGTCGGCCGAACACCCTCATCACGAGGCGGAGGAATAGCGTCCTCTGTCTCCTCCTCAGCGTCCTCCCATGGAAGAACGTACCCAGAATTCCTCCCCTGACAGCGACCTAATCTCAAGTTGGTGGATATCTCCTCCAAACGAGTCAGCTTGATGAAACCAAGCTGATTACGCCTCTTCACCTGAACACGCTCATGGACGGCCCAATTCCTTTCCGCCGGAGAGGCGCACGTCCATGTGTGCGACAAGCGAATGGCGATGCTCTGAAGGAGAGGGACCCCGTCCACGTGCTGAACCCACCACTGCCCCACCTGTGATGTCTCCTTCTCCCCTTTGCAGGCGGCCGCATCCCTGTCTCCCTCATCCCCTCCATACGTCCAATTGCCCTCCCGAGAATGAAACTCCGCAAGCTGCGTGCGCAACGTCTAATACAAATCCTCGTCACCACCAGTCTGGTGGCGAAGGTATCGCAACGACTCGTCTGCCAGTATCCGTTCGTGGTCGGTACGCCTCGCCGCTCCAAAAAAAGTAATGCTCCTCTGCCGCGGATTGAGGAGGTGGGCCATGCAATGTGCGGGCTCCAACATATGAGCGACCCTCGCATGACAAGCCTGAACAACGATGTGGAGCTCGTCCTTCGATGTCCTGTTGAGGCTTGCTCTCGCCACCCTGTCGACCATGACAAAACCCCACGACCACATGCGAGTCATCACGCGACCCCCCCTGCTCAGACGCTGTAGCAACTGCATCACAGGCGTCATGAGCGCCACGATGTCCTCCACGTGCTCCCAGAATGGCGCGTACCGCACCTGATGATGCACCCATCTGGCCTGCAGAAAAATGGACCTCCTCCATGCAGTCCGCAGCCAATCGTCGCTCATCATCAATGCCTCCAACGCTCTGCGACGATCTTGCAGCCTCTCCAGCATCAAGTAGTGGGTGACAAACCTCGTCTACACAGGGTACACAAGCTCCCTGCCTCGCTGCTAAGACAAGGGTGGCGCAAAGCTTGAACCACCAGCCGCCGCCGAGGCGGAAGAGGGGTGGGCAGCAGAGAACCGTCGGTAAAGGCTAGAGCCGCCCCGTGCTCTCTGATGAAACGCACGACAGCTCGAGCCCTGATGATGGTGTCCTCCCTCTTCTCGAGGCTACCGTCGCGCCCATCCTTCGCGATGTCTTGACAACAACAAGTTGCAGACATGGACCGCACACGGAAGCCAAGTGATGCGGCTGTACTTGACTTCCTCCTGGCCGACATACGTTGTCAGGCATCACCGTATAATCGTCTCGGCACACAATAGGTCCAGGAAGCTGTGCAATGTCCGGAGGGATGATGTCTTCAATCTCGTACTCCAAAGGCTCAGACGGAGGTTGTTGAGGAGTTTGAGTGCGTAGCAATTCCAAAACAGTAGTCGGGCTATGTGCAAATGCTGACAGACTTGCCATAACCTCTGGGGAGAGCACTGCCTGCACCCTCGGATCATCCCGAACTCCGCCGAAAGATAGCGCTGTTGTGTTGCCTGCCATGTAACTAGTCCGTTGAAACTGGTCCGTTGTAACTGCCATACTTGAAGCCCCCCCGGAACCGGACGATGTGCCCGACGCACCCATCTTCTACGAAGCCGAGCTACAAGCTTTTTGCCTCTCATCTGCCAAAGTTGGTTGCAAAGTACCATCTTCACTTTCTTCCTCTGAGTCCTCAGCATCGAAGCCTTCCCCAAAACAAGTTACATAAGCTGCGATTGTAAACGCCCCGATGTGTTCGTCGAAGTACATCATCTCTAAACGGTCTAGAAATGCAACTTCCGTTTCCACCGGTGCCTTATGATAACCCCTCAGAAGTGATTCTATTTTTCGCCTTCTGGCGACATATGCACGTTCCCCTCTGTTTTGTGGCTTAGTCTCGAAAAGGAACTCCCAAATGTTGACGATGTTTTGGCCGACTTTGTAGACGAGATCACGCTTTTCATCATGCCGAGGAGGCGGCTTAACAAATTTGGCGAAGTAACCTCCACTCTTGACCATCTTGTTGACGAATTGAACGAGAAACTCGAACTTCGTACCCTCCCCTTCCAGAACAATGCAATAACGGTGACTCTTTAACAACTCCCAAATCAACGCCGCATAATCTTTTCCCAGGAAAACATCCGCCTCATCCGCAGGACAAAAATGCTCCAATGTCTCCATCATCGCATTTGGCTCCCTTTCCATACCTTCGTACACAATTTTCTCTTTTGGCTCCATACCTGCCATTTTCAACTTCGTGGGCGTGAAGTTCTTCTCCGCGACATCAGCCAACGTCTTTGGCCTTCTCTCTCTGCGCACAAGTGCTGATAAGTCACCCGCCTGCTCAGCAGATGATCGATCTGCAGCTGGAGTGCTTGTTGGAATGTCTTCAAGCAAGGGAATAGTGTTGCGGTGATAATCCCCATCGTTGGAGTACATGATGACAACCATTCTGTCTGTGTCCTCCAAAGGCAAGTTCGCAACCTTATATGAATGCTTTGCCTTCGTTTGTTGCTGACGAGTCCACTTTAGAATAGACAAGTGAATGTCAATCTCCCAACTTGTAACTCACTTGAAAAATGTATACTCGCAAGACCGCGGAACGAAGCACAATAATGTCCAATAATCACCAGTCTGTTTTCCCATGAACTTCCGTAGACCATCAAATACTTCTTCAGTCCACACCTCTACCTCGGTTGGGTGACACAAATCCAGCACGGCCGTGTGGCAACTCAGATATTTGACGACTCTATATATTTTCTTGGAATCCATCTCGTCTGAAATATCGCTTGGTTCCGATTGGAACGAGACGAAAACAGAGATCACTTCATGTTTTTTGAACTGTATATATTTCGTCGTGCCTGACATTCTTATGCTTTTCGAACCCTTGGTTTCTGATCTGCGCAGCAGCTTGTTGACAAACTGCACGAACTCTTCGGGGCACTTCGTAGCAAGTGATGTTGTTTTCTTGAAGCCCTCTTCTCCTTTTTCCTCCTCTCCTCCAAGTGTAGCTGGGAACGTTCGAACCCAATTCATGTCTTTGAAATGGTGATGCTGGTCGATCCACCTCTCGGATGTCAATCCTTCATCACAGTACTTATCAAACAAATCGGAAAGGTTGTTGAAGAATGGTTGCGTCCACTCTGACGACTTCCTATGAGGGTCAGAAATGAAGACAAAGTCGTGAAACATCCTCAACATTGCTCTTTCAATCTTCACCATTTCCGCGTATGTCTCCGTTGAATATTTCCCGGCACGTTGAGCAACTCCACTTTGCTTAGGAGTCAGTATTACATTGCCTGTGAGAATGTCTCGCAACAGTTGAAGCCGCTCACGCCTCCCAAGCGCTGAAAAAGGCTTCCACGCTCTGATATCCGGATCGTGCACAGCCACGAGGTAACCCAGTCCTTTGGTACCCTGAACCCAGTGAACCGGATACATTACTTCACCTTTCAACTCAAATCCAGGTCCAGCCCTCGGTGCCTTTCCTGATTCATCTTGTTTGGTAGCAGGCTTCACAACATCTCTCCCCGACAATTGTCGAGCTTCCCAAGTGGCGTACTCTTGTTTTACCTTTTCGAAAACGTCATCTGTCGCCCTTGCAAACAACATGTAGGGTCCGAGGGCGTCCGACCACTGGCCGCTCCATTGAGTAGTAAGGGACATGTCAACCAAATTACGAATCCCGGTCAAACGAAGAGCCTCTCCTGCAAACTTTCTATAATCTGCATTTTTCACTTCTGCCGCTGAGCCGCCTTTAGCTTCAGGACAGTTCGATTCGTGCCACAACTTCCGTATATTCTAGATGACCACGATCTGGTGCGGTGGGGTATTCCATTTGTCCTTGGCGTTCTGGAAAGTGCTCAGCGTGCCATAATTGTCCATGCTCTTTTCCGGATAATAAACAGGTCTCGCAATCCAGCGATCCAATCGGAGCTCTTGTGCGATGTCAGGGCGTTCAACAAAACACCTTCTTGCCGCCATCATGTTATGCTGACCGCTGAGAGGGTAGTAGTAGTACTTGTTCACAGATTCGAGGTCGAATTCATCGGGCAACACCCTCCTTGCTCTCACACTCCTCCCTGACGCGTCAGTATGCAATGTATCTCGGAGGGCAACCAACAAAAGGACAGGCTTCTCATACAATATACAAACATTCACACCGGCAGCTCCAGTCGTTCTCTCTCTTATAGCAGCCTCACCCGATGTAACCATTGCGTCATGAATGTCATCAATCGTCTGCTGCACAAGATAGCGTTGATTGTATCTGAATTCCCCGTCGGGGATATCTAGAATTCTGTCGAACTGGACAAAAATGAATTCCATGTCTGGACACTGGTTCCCACGCTCGTCCAACTCAAGGAAGAAGCCTTTGCTAAGAACACTAGAAGAAGTCACCGATGACACATTTCGCAAACTTGGCGGCCTAGTAACTGTCTTGCCTTTGGCCTCTTCAGCCGATTGTGGTTGTTCCGCTGAAAAAACGAAAGTCTTTTCCATGACACCACCCTTTGCCTTTCTTTTCTTTGGCTGCTGCTTTTTCTTCATGACCGCCTCGGTCTCCCGTGTTCGCTGGACCGCCTCATCCACGGGCAATATTTTCAATTGTCTTTTTCCAACCGCTTCTTGCCTACTCCGTTTACTATCCATAAGATTTCTCCTCTCGTGCCTGTGCTTCCTTTTTCGCTCAGCGAGCCCTGCAGCATCTGTATGCCCAGCCACAGCCCCCTCACATCCTTCGTAGCTGCTCCCATATCCTCCTGCCAGACCAACCTCTCCACCCAATTCGCTTACAGTGTGCTCACTGTCTTCACCCTGTCCAATCACTTTACTTGTCTCTCCTGGATGCCTCGTCATGCCGCCGACACCCGCAGCATACTGTTCTTGTCCTCGTGCTCGTTTCGAATATTCCTCGATGTTCTCTTCATCCTCATCTTCAAAATACTCATGGGCTTCCACTGCGCGGCTTGGCACAGTGTAGTCATAGCGCTGCTGGCCCACCAAGGGGAGAGGTCCCAGGGTGGCCACAACATAGCGCGGTCGGCTGCCCAAGGCAACTGGTGCTTTGGTCGCCGTTGGCCTGGTCTTCATAGGGGCTGACGGCACGACCAGTCCGCGGCACGGACCCTTCTCTCCAATCTGCCCAGCTTTCGGACCAGGCGGTGTATTGCGGATCGTGATCGAAGGCCCTGTCTCCACGGTTTTCGAAAGCACACATTTAGGCTCCGATATGCGGTCCTCTGGATGCACAACCGGCTCTTCGCCCACGATCACATTACTCTCGAAAAACCCGAGGACGTCAACGACGTCAGGCAACTTCACTTCCGCTGTCCCTGGTGGGTTGAACACATCAACCAACGACTTTCCAAACCCCGCGTCTTTGGCCCATCGAAGAGCGACGTGTTTGACACTCGGTATTCTTTCCCCTCTTCCATTGAGGACCATCGTCAACTCGAACGTTGCAAACGGCGCATTTTGTCCAGTCCACCTCACCAGGCCGCCAGCCTGCACAATATTTTCTTTGATGACCACGTATAGAACAAGGCCACTCGATGGTTGTCCGATGTCCCCCACCCAGTCCAGCATCCAGAACTTGTCCGTGTGATCAACCACGGGCACATCGTCTCGCCGACCCGCGACAATCGTTTCACCAGACGGTTTACGTTCGCCAAAGGGTTTACGTTCACCAGACGGTTTACGTCCGGGCACAACCTCCACTGCATATCTTCCCTGCTGCGGACAGGCACACATTCCTGACCCGTAGGCCCGCCAGTCATCAACACAACCTTATCCGGTCCAGAGCCCCGAACACGACTCGACGGAGTGCCCGAGGAAGGTGCACCCCTCGGAACCGGGGTGCATTGTCGCTTAGACCCCGGTGCCTTCTGACTCCCAACCCCAACGGCCGGCGTCCCCTTCGATTTTTTCGGAGATTGTTCCATGCTCCCATAATTCTTACTTGCTCGTCGTTTACTTGCCTTCCCCTCTCCTTCCATGTTTTGCAGCTCTGCCGAACTTGAAAGCAAAACATCACATCACCGCAAAGCCAAAATCAGAAGGTCGCCCAACGTTGGCATGGCATGCGGAGCAGAAAAGTTTCAGATAGTGGTAAGGCAGCGCAGCTCCTTCGTAACAAGGCAGCCCCGGAGATGGAGTTCGAATCGACCGCGATCGTGTTCAATCCGATCGCGATCGTGCCCGTGCTCAACACGATCTTGTTCGGCGTGAGCGTGACGGGCCAACTCGATCGTGTTCGACTCGATCGCGGTTGCTGCGTTCTCCTGAACTCGACCGTAAGTCCAGGCGATCGTGTGCGTGTCGATCGTATTCAACACGATCGCGTTAGACTCGAACGTGAGACCACGTGATCGTGAGTCCCGTCGATCGTGTTCGACTCGATCGAGAGTCCAGGCGATCGTGTTCGATTGGATCGTGAGTCCAGGCGATCGTGTTCGACTCGATCGTGTTCGACTCGATCGTGTTCGACTCGATTGTGAGCCCAGAGATCGTGTTCGAGTCGATCTTAAGTCCAGGTGAGCTTTTTCGACTCGATCGTGCTCGACACGATTGTGTCGCCTGAACTCGACTGTGATTCGAATCGATCGTGTTCGACTGGAGCCTGACGGGCCAGCTCGATAGTGGTGGGCCAGCGCCTATGTATCCCCGGCGGCCGCAATCACCGCGGGCATGACCGCGGCCACCGCGGTCGACCGCAGGCCCGAGGTCATGACCGCGGCGGTCGCGGTCAAAAAGGGCGCACCGTGGGCGCGGGGAGGGGGTACCGGAAGTCGGGGTCGGGATTCCGGGGGCGCGAGCAAGGCCAGACACCCCCGCAATGAAAAAAATGAAAAAAAGTTAAAAGTGGGGGGGTCCAAATTGCGGTATGTTTAAGGGGGGGTTAAAAAAATAAGGGACCCCCTTTTTTCAATTTTGTCGGCACAGGCTTGGGTTACGGGGGGTCCCCTTCAC